TTATGGAGTTTTGCAATAGGATCTATTGTATTGCAAATAAACTACATTTTTATATATTTCTTGTGGTGATTTATAATGATATTTTCATTTTTATTTTTTTTGCTTTTTACATCTGTACTTTTCCTTTAAAACAATAGACATATTATTGTGAGGTATAATTTTATTTTATGTGTAATATTGTTTAATTTCCATACAACAAAAAAAATGCACATCAGTCACTAGTCTCCTCAGTTATAGTAAATAAAGACCAATTAGTGGCTCTGATGTGGTCCAGGCCACCAGCAGTCTGAGACATAAAGAGGTATGCCTAGAGTCCGGACATACTGCTCTATAGTGGAACTGTCCTGATCAAACCTGTTCGGATGGCTGCAGATCAATTCAAGCATTTGAGGGCTAGAAATGTCCTTCTGCTGGTACTTTGAGACGCCTTATAAATGTACTTTGAGAAGCTCTTATAAACGTCTCTATAATAACAGTTCTGGGCTGAACACAACGCTCCTACGGTGTCTGTGAAATGACACAAACATTTTCAGTTCACCATTCTGAAGACGCTATGTTTAATAGATAACCAATCTAGCATTCTTTTAATCAATTTTTATTCTGGTCAATCTTGTCACCTAATTTAGTTACTCGTAGTGAAACAAGATATATGACGTAAATGTCACTGCTCTGGAATGGATAGCGTTAAACAGACAGTCTAGGTATGCAAGTAATCTTGTCCTGCATTTAACACGGACTTTGCCTTGGAAAACATGGATAAAGGCGAAGACTTTGACACAGGACAAACAGACACGCTGCCCGCACTTATGCCTGGAGATAAGACTCTATACTAACAGCGATATCAGTATATGGCACACAGCCGTGTGAATCAGGCTATTGAGGTGACAGACAAAAATAAAATGATATACTATTGTGAAATTAAAATGAATATCATAATCAATAAGGCCAAAATGGCCAACTTTGAATATAGCTGAATTTGTGATTTGTATGTATTTAGTCTGTTTTGCCCCAACTATAAGTAATCCCCTGTGTTGGCTACATTTGTCCTGAATGCTGAATGCTAGTAATTTACATTTTTTTTTTTCATTCTTTATTTTTTGGAGTGCATGTTTAACAGACAAGCTTTCTTAGATGTTGTTACATGAGTATACGTGATACAATTGAAGTCATGTGTATTTCATAGAATGTCTGAGGATCCGCACTTTTTATAATTATAGCATGCGGGTCTAATATGATTAGACACAAAAACATGACATGTATAAAATAATATATGCAATAAGATCAAATATGTGTCAGGGGAGTTAAGCAAGAGTAAAAAATAAACAGTATCATAACCTGACTCTTTCTGCAAGTCAATACCCTATTTTCTTTTTGGGAAGTAATAATAAACCAGCTAGACAAAAAATAGGTTCATAGACTAGGTCCACTCAGAACGAAAACTGGATAATCGCTACTCTAGTTAGAGATGCAAGGAAAGGAAAAAAATAAACAAAAAAGAGAAAACACAAAGCTTTAAAGAGATAACAATGATTAGTCGCCAATTAAAAACAGGTAACGTGACAGCATCCTCCATCACAGCAATGAGGCACAGCATTGGTGAGGAGATTAGAGCCCAGCTCAACCGATCCCTTTGAGTGGCAGGAACAGAGTGCAGTCCAGTGGATCCACGTAGGCACTTGGCCTGAGACGCCATGACAGGGGTCCGCTCCAGCCCCGGGCCTGTATGAGGGCCAGCATCTTGGTTCCATGGACTCGGGAACACGTGGGTGTCGAGTCTTTTCCCCTGCCGGGGTAGCCGGAAGAACCTGTTGATAAGGGCCTGCATTGGCGGGAAGTCTTTGGCCTGGTATGGCCAATGCTTGAGGACTGTGCCTCAGGTGGCAGGTCATCGCTGGGGAGGAAAAGGGTAAGGATGTTACTGAGGGCAAGACATATTTTATGTAATGGAAGAGAAAGTTGCTAGAAGAGTTTACAATGAAGTCTTTTTTAGATGATACAGTTGCAGGAAGGAAGGCAGGGTGGGTTCGTGAGATGTGGGGAGGATAATATGTTAACAGTTTAACTATTAAATTCTTGAAGAAGTGAGTTTTCAGGGAAGAGCATCACAGAGGCCGAGCTGTGGGAGTACTTGGAAATCACAGACCCCCTACTCCCCCTGTGCTACGCGGACTGGTGACATTTGCCCAAATTTTACATAATTATGCACAGTGTATTGTATTCCACTCCATAATCACTTTTAAACTACTCACCATACCCACTAGAGTGCATTATAGTGGTTACAGTACAAACAGACTTTGAGTGCCATCCCTCTGGTTTTTATTTATTTTTTGTCAAACTGTTCTTGAGCTGTTTGGCAAAAAGTCTTGTTTCTTCCAACCATCCTGCTGCCACTAAGAGTAAATGGATGTTTCATTATCCTTACAGACCATCCGTCCCTGGATACAATTATAGGCTGCATGCAGGGCCTGCTCCCCCGTTAGTCAAACTAGGCATGGTGTGTGTTTGTGTCTGTCAGTGAATATCTGTCAGTGAGTATCTGTGTGTGAGTGTGTATATCAGTCTGTCAGTGTGTGTCTGTCAGTGAGTGTCTGTGTGTGTGTGTGTGTGTGTGTGTCTGTTAGTGTGTGAGTGTCTGTCTCTCGGTGAGTGTTAGTATCTGTGTGTGTGTGTCTCAGTGAGTGTATGTCAGTGAGTGTGTGTGTGTGTCAGTCAGTGAGTGTATATCTGTCAGTGAGTGTGTGCTTGTGTGTCTGTCTGTCTGTCTATCAGTGTATGTCTGTCAGTGAGTGTCCGTGTGTGTGTCTGTCAGTGAGTGAGTGTATATATGTCAGTGTGTGTCTGTCAGTGAGTGAGTGTATGCCAGTCAGTGAGTGTGTGTGGGGGGGGTGTGTGTGTCAGTGAGTGTATGTATGTATATGTGTCAATGAGTGGTGTGTGTGTCTGTCAGTGAGTGAGTGTCAGTGTGTGTGTGTGTGTGTGTGTGTGTGAACGTGTGTCTGTCAGTGAGTGAGTGTATGTCTGTCAGTGAGTGTGTGTGTGTCTGTCAGTGAGTGAGTGTATTATGTATGTATGTATGTCAGTGAGTGGTGTGTGTGTGTGTGTCTGTCAGTGAGGGTGTGTGTGTGTGTGTGTGTGTGTGTGTCTGTCAGTGAGTGAGTGTATATCTGTCAGTGAGTGTGTGCTTGTGTGTCTGTCACTGAGTGTATGTCTGTCAGTAAATGTCTGTGTGTGTCTGTCAGTGAGTGAGTGTGTCTCTGTCACTGAGTGTATGTCTGTCAGTAAGTGTCTGTGTGTGTCTGTCAGTGAGTGAGTGTGTGTCTGTCAGTGAGTTTATGTGTGTGTGTGTGTCAGTGAGTAAGTATGTGTCTGTCAGTGAGTGAGTGTGTGTCTGTCAGTGAGTGTGTGTCTGCCAGTGTGTGTCTGTCAGTGAGTGACTGACATGAGGGGGCGGCAAAATGGATCTTTGCCTAGGGCAGCAGAAATCCTTGCACCGGTCCTGGCTGCAAGCACCAGGAGTAATATAGACAAAGCTGGGCTTTGGGTGCCAGAACAATCACATTTTGCTTTTCTCAAACTACTCACTAGTTCTTTTGCTGATCATTGTTCATTTTGATTTGTTATTAGGTCTCACTTGGTTGCTTTATTTGCACTCCTTGAGCCATGGTTTTTGGCGTCATTAGACAACACCTAGACTTGATGCACTTAGAAGACATGCCCCTATTTTTGATATTTTACTGTTTTGAATTACAAAGTTTATATGCTGGTTATTAATTATCCTTACCCTTCAATTGTGTTTTTATAGTTAATGTATTTTTTGCTATAATTTGTATGTGTAATAATCTAGGTGGACAATTGCCACCAAACCTTCTGAAAGACCATATAAAAGGCATTCACGGACAATCTCACTCACGCTTGAGAAAGCCCTGAGAGGCGGGGTGAAACACGTAGCGCATGCCTAAACAAGGAAGTAGCTGTAATGACACGGAGAGCCTGTGATAAGCGGGATACGAAGTGTGATAGAACTTTTACGGTTTATTCACGATCTATCTGGACTGATTTGACTCTATCCAATACAGCAGCATTGAATTATTTTATTTATCTACCTTGATTAAAGATACAATTATTTTTACTTCTACACTTCGGCCTAGAGTGAGTTTATACAGCATATTACAGTCTGGATCCTACGATCTCAAGGGGCTGATCCTCCTGCTGCCCGATAGTCTGGAGTGGTACTTCAACCACTCCACAATTGTGAGTTTTATTATCCCCAGTTATTTTTTTATACATTATTGCACTAGGTCTGTGTCTTTATATATTCTAGATGGGACTGTCCTTGAATGATCAGTGAAATTGCAAGTATATGTTTATTAGTTACATTTTGTATCTAACCACATGGTACTTCTGTACACCTGTTAGTAATACACTGGTTATATTTATATTGTAACACACTACTGCATCTACTTGGGTGGTATTTTGCATGGTTTATACATGGTTCTGCGCACCTACATTTTTGTTTTTCACTAGGTTTGACAAACAAAACTGAGCAATGACACTCAAAGACTCGCTGCATTCTAACCCCTGCAATAATTCTGTAGTGGTTGTGCTCATTAGCGTGTACATAAAGGAACACTCTGGGCACCATAACAACTTCTAACACCTCAATGCTGTATATGCTTATATTTACAAACCAGCCAGAAACTATAGCTTGGTGTTCAACATGGGTCTAACTTAAGAGGTAGAGATGTGCACAGATTGTTTTAGTGGGCCAGATGGTTTCTCTCTCAGTAAACACCCTTGCCTTACAAAGAAAACAAAAAAGCTTACTTTAGAGAACAATTGATCTAGTCTAGCTATTTCACTATAAACTGCTGGCATTAAATAAAAATCTAATCAGCAATTCTCTTATTCTCAATGCCTATGACTCAGGGACGATGAATGGATGATCTCAGATTTCTAACAGAACAACAAAGACACGTCAAGAACTCCACGCTGCATTGTAAATGAAAGTCCAAGAGGCTGTCCTTCCTGGAAACCAGGATGGCAGCGATAATTTTGATATAAATAGCAGTGAAAAAGCACTACTTTTATTCTCCAACCCAATCTCAAAGAATCCAGGTAAAGAGGGAATTGATATCCATATTTCTTTGAGTGAAAGGGCTAAATTATGGGCAAAGAAAACACAGATAGCGGACCTGCCCTGTTAAGCAGAAAAGAGAGAAGAAAAACTTGAATTGAAATTATTGAGAACAAATGTTTTAAATTAGAGTTTTCTAAAAATGTATCACTTTCTTTGCAGGTATCTCATCACTGAAGATCATCAGAATGTTCGTTAAGGTTCTTGCCCTTGCGCTTGTTCTTTGCGCCTTTGCAGGTCAGTATGGGGAGAAGAATTTCGGGGTCTGAGAATTGTGTGTGTGTGTGTGTGTGTGACAGATGGAAAGAGTAAGAAGACAAATGTAATAAAAATATCCAACCTGTCGAAGAGTGTGTGGGATGAACAAGAAATGGTTAGATGACCTATGAGATGGTGGGAGATGGAGAGTTTGATACATGGAGGAAGAGAAGAAAGTAAATTTTAGCAAGTGGAAATAATCTAATAAAAAAACAGAGGTAGACGAATATGTATGGATTTTTCAATTACTTTTTGTGAAACAAAAATAACTGTTGTAAAATCAGATCAGAGAGAATACATTTGGTAGTTTGTATTCCACTAATGGTAGTTTTTCCCCCTCATCTTAGGCTCTAAGGCTGAGATCCAAAGTGAACAAGTGGTCAATGCTTTCTGGGACTACGTCTCCAAACTGACCAAAGATACCAAAGATGCCGTGGACCAGATTCAGCAATCTGAGATCAGTCAACAGCTCAAGTAAGTAAGAATGAATTAAGAGCTGCTTTATATATAGTCTGAAAGAAAAGCAAGATGGATGGCCCCAAGAGTCCAATAGGGACTCGGTCAACTTAACGTTTAAAATTTGTGTTATCTATAAACACATTTCGATTTCACCATAGTACCTTAAGAAAATGAATAATTCCATTCAATATTGTTAAAACCAATAAATTTTTTGTATACATTTTGGTGTAGAACATTGTTTCCTGTTCCATAATCATGTTTAAAGGGGCACACAGCGCACCATAACCCTTACAGTGTAATGAAGTGGTTACGAGCAAAGAGCCTTCAAGTGCCATTTATGTCAAGCCAGTCTTGTCTTGCCTAGTACCCAAAGACCAACCACTCTGCTGCCACTGAGAGCATATGAAGGGTCCAGTATTCTACAAAACCATTCAACCATGAATACAATGATAGACTGCATATACTCTGTCCAGTAGCAGAATAATTTGATTTTGGGTTCTGGCACAATCATATTGTTTTTTTCTCAAACTACTCACACAGTTTGTCAAAAAAAGTAGTCATTGGCACCCAAAACCTCTCTGCACTATAACCTCTGCAATGATGCTGCAGTGGTTGTGGTACTTAGCATGCCCGTCAGGTTAGAATATAGCAATTGTAAGATGTTTTTTCTCGTGATCATAATGTTACTCACAATCTCAATACTATTCCTGGACAGGGTTTTTGGCCCACATTTTGCAATTAAAGTTTACAATGTTTAGTTAATTAACCCCTCACAGCTGTTTGTCAGTGGATTTTCCTATTTGCGTTTTGTAAGTTTCCTAATTGAAAAAGCTTGATCCACTCTGCGTTATTCTGGTACTACTTATATTATTATCTCATATAACCCACCTGTATATTTAAATTAATATGCGACCATTTTTTCATGGCCCACTTATTTGATTTTGATTTGAGCGTGTATATTAAAAATCATGTATGTTATCTGCAGGATCACAATGATACATTAACACAAATCCACAGTTTTTAGCAAGGAGGAAACAACATTGGTTATCCAATTAATAGGCAGGAAAGCAGTGAGCCAAAATATAATCTAAGCAAATATTGTCAAGTCCAAACATTAAAATAGAGTACATCAAAAAAGAAAATTTCAAAAAAATGTAAAACTGTTGAGTGTATCTAAGGTACTATATATACTATATATCCATGTTCTGGTGTAATGAAACATTTTCAGAACATACAACCATTCCAGACACTCTTGTCACATTTTAACCTTTTTAATCTTAAATTCTCAATTTATATTTATTTGTATATTTATATATTTTTATCAAGTCTAGATTTATACTTTTCCACACCCTTGTAAACTGTTACATAATTCCATATTTCTGATACTGCAATTTGTTTGTGATTATTTTCTCTGTCCATCAGTTTACCTTTCTATACTTTTCTTCACAGTTCTCTCATCCAGGACAACCTGAAGACAGTGAATCTTTATGCTGAAGAAATGCCAGACCAACTCATCCCTCTAGCCAAACAGATTCATGATCAACTAACTCAGAATTCAGAAAAACTTCGGGAGCAGATCAGACAGGAACTTGAGCAATTAAAGAGCAGGTTCTCTCCATATTCAGATGAGGTCCACAATCAGCTGAAAATAAATTTAGAACAGTTGCAACTAAAGCTTACTCCATATGCTGAGGAACTTCAGGCACAGATTGAGAAGAATACCCAGGTGGTCAGTGAGCAACTGAAGTTGGTGGCCAAGGAATTAGATGCTAAGATAAGAGAAAATGCAGACAATGTCCAAGTGTCTTTGGCCCCATTTGCCCAGAAACTCCAGGACAAAATAGATGAAAGTGTAGAGCAGATGCAAAAACAGGTTGTCCCCTACACTGAGGAGCTACGAGAAGAATTAAGGCAGCAATCAGAAGAATTGCGCCAGAAGCTGAGTCCCTATGCAGATGACATGCAAGATAATCTGAACAAGTATATCGAAAACATGGATTTCCAAATGAAGAAAAGCGTGGACCAGATAGAAGCCAAGATGTCGGAGCTCACAACAAACTTGAAAAAGCAGTTAGACCCCTACGCTGATGAGTTGAGAGATAAACTCAATGAGAATTTGAAGGATGCCACACAGGCTTTGGAGCCTTATTTGTCCAAAATGAGTGAAAGCATGGACCAGAAAATCTCAGAATTTAAAGACATGATGACCCCATATGGAGAAGAACTCAATAAGGCCCTTTTGCAAAGGGTGGAAGATATGAACCAGAAACTTGGGCACTACACAGTGAGTGTGAAGGATCAGCTAGAGTACCTGGAGAAAGATGTCCGGGACAAGATCAATGACTTCATCAGCAGAGATGTTCATACAGAAGAGTAAATCAAATGTCACTACACTGTAACAACAAGCTGCTACTTAATATACAAATGGCACCCCATTCCATTCTAACTAGAATGGCACCCAAATACACAAATAACATTTCCACCTGGTACAAGGATATTAATTAGATAAATAATTAGATAAATCTTTACAAAGAACAAGAAGCACTTTTTACTTTATGCAACTATAGCCGAACATTGTGCATGTCTTGTTGTCCCATATGGTGTAATACTATATAACCACCGACATATGAATGTCCTTTTATCTCACAGTTTTACATGAATACTAGTTTCTCTCTGAATTCACTTTTTGACCTGGCTTTGAATAGAACGCATCTAGGCAGAATAACATGAAGTTATTTTTCTTATGTTTTATCCACTAATTCCTTGCCAAGTGTTAAATATTGTGTGTGCGATTTTTTTGGTGCTTTGCAATAAACCTGCAATAAACAGCAACTCAGCAATGCAGATGGTGTGATGTCTTAATTATTGGGGTATCAAGCTTCATCTACCTTATACCTTAATCTACATTTAATTTGGAAAGCAAAGTTTATATATATATACACACATTTATAGTATTAATGGAGAAATGTAAATATATGTATATGTAGCTGTACATGTCCTCAAGATATATGAGGGCATCAGCTTACACATCTAAAAATGAAATTACAGCAAAACAAGATCTTTTAAAGCCACATTCAAACACCTACAATATTAAAATGGAATTTAGTCACATTTTATGGCCAAGACATGCTTAAAAGGTTACTCCAACCACCATTCTGCAGGAGACAGCTTGAAACACTGCACATCCAGAGATATTTGTAATTGTGTGCTGAGGGTAAGTTTTGCCCCCAGCTCACGTGACTTATGCAGCCCAGAACTCTGTTGCCTAATGTGAATTCTGTGCATAATTTACATCTGTCTTCAGCGCTTACTGCACGCTGCCACCAGACGCAGAGCCTGCAAGGGAGAAGTTCTTGTGTCCTAACATAAAACATGAAGTCCACTCCTAACATAATGGTAATATAAAATCTATGCAAGCGAAGAGACTAGTTGCATTTGTATTGCTTATATAGGAGAAACTCCTATATAATTAATTATCCCATCTACAAACATTAATGAGGAAGGGAAGGAAGCTAAAACCAAAAGATTGCTCAGAACTTCAAACATCTAGAAAAGAGTTTGGAGGATAAGCAAGTTCTAAAAATGGCCAAACATTAATCATAGGACATGTGGCAGTCAGTGCATATCTATGCAAGAGCTACTCAAAGGCAGTCTGTCACTTTCTATGATTTTAATATTAAGTTTGCATATTCATTGTATTCGGCAAATATGTGTTGGTGTGGTGTGAAAAGTAAAATAAAATATAGAAATTCTCTCTATTGTGTTTACCTCTAATCTGCAACTAGCTGCTTCAATCTTGGGTCCCTTTCAATACAATATAAATTGCTCTTTTCTGCTGCTGAACATAGAGAAAGAAGAGAGTCTGAAAACCTGCTTCCACCCTGTTCCTCATTTGCATTCTGTGCCCTGACTGTGCCTTGACTGAAATGGAATGTGATGTCACTTGCTGAAATCTTTAATTAACATTTTAAAAGGAAACAGAGAATTAATTTCCAGACTAGCGACTGGTTTGCTTTGAAGTAAATCTATTTATTAACACCTGGTGCTTAAATTACCTCCATCAGTATGGGTTGTGACCTTTTCTCAAATACGGAGAACATATTTTTAAGTTAAAGGAACATGCTAAGCACCATTTTCACTAAAGCACACTGTGGTGATTATGGGGTCAGGAGTGCCCTGGTACCTCCACAGTATAAGTAGTTAATCCATTTGATACTAGTTTAACTTTCTTACCTGGGATCTGCTAATTCGGCTGGCAATGCGAGGTGGGGCTTAGCTCAGGAAAGTTAACGGACGTTAGCTCTCACTGGTAGAAGTAACTACTGACATTGTGGGGGGTGTATCAGGGTTTCAGCATTAGGAGTTCAGGATGCAAGAATTGACAAAAAAAATAAGGCCTCAATTTAATAAGCTTTCCAAATGATTCAATTCTGTTAGAAATATTTTCCCAATTATTTATCTACAGAAGTCAACATTAAAGTCTATGGAATTTTTTGTAGATAAATTATTTGGACATTTTTCTAACAGTATTTAATCTTCTGGAAAGCTTATTAAGCTGAGATCTAAATTATTCAGCTCGAAGCTCGAGGTACAGACATGAGTGCTCAGAGACAACTAGAGGATCCAGAATCAGTCAGGCTGTTGGGACAGTACCAGATGAGCAAATGACAAACATAGGCTGAGAATTGTTTTCTGCTTTGCAGTAGTACTTTGCCCTGGTACTCGTAGGTATGCACTTTGCACTTGGTATTGGCGCAAGAAGTACAGGTCACGTTTGACACTTGCACAGAAGTACTTGTTGTACTTTCACAGGAATACAGGTTGTACTGGGTGCTTGCACAGGAAAACAGGAGTTCTTATAAGGGAGACATAGGCCATCTGAGCAAACAGGAGTGGTGAATTGACTATTTATAAGGAAGCACACCCCACCTCGCTGTCACCATATCATGGGTACCACCCACTGAGACATGCTGTCCCCTTATCGCATGAAGCACGCCGTTATTGTTTTGGCACCAGGAGTAGCCTGGTCCAGTTCCTTAGTAATGGGGCAAACTGTTAAGCAATGTTTAGCAAATATGACCTCTTACCTGGATTCCCACTGTGTTCAGAGGCTCCTTTTGGCACTTCATTGGCTGAGAGAATCAGCAAACACCTTGCAAGCCACTGAAAATCATTAAACTGTGCACAGAATTAACATTAGCCAGCCGTGAAGTCTTGTTCTGGGTTGGCTAATGATGCCCCAATGACGCTGCCGGAGTTGGAGTTACACCTCCAGCAGCAAAAGAGTTAAACTCGGTTTGTGCAACATATCATGCTGAACTGCTGCACATACACCCTCCAGGCACCATGACCACTTTTAATCAGTGAAGTAGTCATGGTCCTTGGAGTAACCTTTTAAGTAAATAAAAAAAATGGTAAAACAAAATATAATTCCAAGGGTACAAATACATATTAAAATGCACTGATTGAGTAATCCCAGCAGATAAATTAGAAGCACCCTCCTGGATGGACATATCCCTGAAGAAACAAAAAGATATGGAAGGGCTGCGCCAAATAAGGGTAGATAGTCCAGTAAAGTATTGCTAGGGTGCCAATAGATGGTCTAGGATACTTGATAGAGTTCCTCTGTGGATGCGTCTGGTGTAGACCGTTCCGTATATGTAAATACAAGAGAGGTAGAGGCGACTAATGGTATAGTATGAAAGTTCAGGGTGTGATAGGTAACAAAAAGTAAAGAACTCACATTCAGGAGAGCTATGGCCAGCTCTGGTGTGGATTGCGTACAGCGGTATAATCCCCGCTTATGGGATATGTAGGGAGGGGTCTCCGTCAGCACCGTCTGGTAGTCCAGAGCTCGAAAAAGAAAGACAGAAAGCAACAATAGTGCTCTCAATTTTGATGTGGTTCAATGTGCAGATAAGAAGAGGTAAAAAACTCACATTTGAGGGAGCTATGGCCAGCTCTGGTGTGGATAGCGTACAGCGGTATAATCCCCGCTTATAGGATATGTAGCGGCGATACGTCCGTCAGCACCGTCTGGTGATCCAAGGCTCCAATATAGAAGAATAAAAAGCAGCAATAGTGCTCTCAATTGTGATAGGTTAAGAGAGTAGTAGAGAAAATAAAATAATACTCACAAAGATAGAGCAGAGGTACTGCTCTATGGATAGGCGCCGGTGGTATGATCCCCACCTAGGATTTCTTGGAGTACTGGAACTTTAAAATTGCCAATGGAAGTAAAAGTAACCAGGAAAGGTTAAAATGCCAGGAATAGGTAAAAACAAAAGTTGTTTAAAGTGCATAAAGAGTGCAATAAAAAGAGGATTGGTACAATAAAGTAGCCAAAAAACTTTTATTGATCTAAAATACACAGTAAAATACAGAATTAATAACCATAAACGCGTTTCACCATAAGTGGCTTCTTCAGAATGGGATAAAAAACATATATTGGAGCCTTGGATCACCAGACGGTGCTGACGGACGTATCGCCGCTACATATCCTATAAGCGGGGATTATACCGCTGTACGCTATCCACACCAGAGCTGGCCATAGCTCCCTCAAATGTGAGTTTTTTACCTCTTCTTATCTGCACATTGAACCACATCAAAATTGAGAGCACTATTGTGAGTTCTTTACTTTTTGTTACCTATCACACCCTGAACTTTCATACTATACCATTAGTCGCCTCTACCTCTCTTGTATTTACATATACGGAACGGTCTACACCAGACGCATCCACAGAGGAACTCTATCAAGTATCCTAGACCATCTATTGGCACCCTAGCAATACTTTACTGGACTATCTACCCTTATTTGGCGCAGCCCTTCCATATCTTTTTGTATCTATCCACCGAAGGACCCGAGGGGTTTTCCTTCATTTGGGTTGCTGCCTACCTTGACTAATTTTGTGATTACTAGCGCTGAATTCTTTTTGTGTTTATCTATATCCCTGAAGAAGTCTACTCCAGAAGAAACGCGTAGGATTGCTTTTTTAACTTATTTTTCAGTTTGTCCTTTTCGTGTATTTTGCCTTTTGTGGAGTTTCCAGTTAAGGAAGTTCTCACAATTCTTATGTGGACCAAGTGGTGGTATGCCAGTGTTGAAAAAATAGTTTAGCATCCATATCCCAGCTGAGGAGAAAAGCCTGAGTTTATTTTATTCTTGTGAGTGCATAATGTACCTTCCATCCTATTGTGCTGTACTGTACTACACTGTGTATAGTTTGTTTAAATATTTCTAGTGATTCCTCATTCTGTGATATATTATAAAGGATTCCCACTATCAAAAAATGTTCTAAAGTTGTATATATTAAAAATCTTTTGGTGTTGGTTAATCTTACATTATAGACCCCTCTCTTACCCCTTTTTTTTATAACTTTCATTGTATCTCATTAAAGAATCACATCCGTAATTCTGATAGCCTTTTAACCAACAGTTAATATGTACCAGCGTATAAATTCAGGGGGAACAAAATGGCAAAAGATATTATGTACTGAGGTTTTTATAGTTTTTCTCTCATGGCACTATTCAGGGTTTTTACCCCTTGGTAATATAGGTTCTCTTACTTAGAGCCAAGGTTCTGTGAGATGCACCCTTCCTTTTGACAATCTCTACTATTATTTTGTTGGTAGCTGAGATTGTATGGTGGGCTCACAGTTAGCCTTGTTACACCAGGGTCCCCTAACAGATAGACTATTTTGCCTGATGATAGGTTTTATAGCGATTTTTCCTCCTGACGATAGGCTCTATAGTGTTTTCTCCTCCTGGTGATAGGCTCTGCAGTGATTTATCCTCCCGGTAATAGGCTCTATAGCGATTTATCCTCCTGACGATAGACTCTATAGCGATTTATCCTCCTGACGATAGGCTCTATAGCGATTTATCCTCCTGACGATAGGCTCTATAGCAACTGCTCATCCTGGCGATAGGCTCTATATATGTAAGCTATCTGCCTATACATATACCCTCCTTATTGTAGTCCCTACTAATTGACAGATACACAGTCATGATCACACATACTTTTTAGCCATGACACACTTTCACTTACACATGCACGGACATACACTCACTGACAGACACAAACACTCACTGATTTGACACACACAATCATAGACACACACATCATCACTCATTTAACTCATTGACTGACAGACACACACACTCACTGACAGACACACACACACACTCACTGACACACACACACACTCACTGACAGACACACATTTACTGACAGACAGACACACACACACACACTCACTGACAGACACACTGATACTGACAGACAGACACACTTACACATTCACTGAAAGACATACACACTGATACTGACAGACACCCATTTTCTCAATCACACACAATTTTTGAATTTTATTTTAAATCCACCCAGCCTCCCTTCCTTTGAAAGATCTGGAGTGGATTATTTTCCCAGTGTGGCTGAAGGCTGGGCTGGCTGATGTGGAGACTGCTTGGTGCCTACGCTGGCTGATGTACAGGCAGCTGTCGGACAAGCAGGTGATCAATGGAGGTGACGAGGGGGCTGTAATCTTCCTGCTCTGCTCCCTCGTACGCTGCTTATTGATGCCGAGCCGGACCGAAGTCATATTCCGTCTCTAGGCATTACAGAAGGGCGCACTGGGGAACAAAGCAAGAATATTACAAAGAACACCGCTCCCTCGCCACTCACCTGCAATATGAGCAGCTGAACGCCTCACGAGACTAAGAGGGCATGTGGGGGGGGAGGGTTGGACAGTGTTTTTTTGCCGTCCCCTTGCAAGTGCCGCCCAAGCCAAATGCCTTGTTAGCCTTGCAATAAATACAGTCCTGGAGGGAGGTATTGCCCTAGTTACAGACTAGTTATTTCAGTTTTCACAGTATATTGGCGTTTGATTTTTATGTTTCTTTTATTTTATATTTGTTTGTGTGTTTTGATTATAATAAATATTATGATGGTTTTTATTAATGTCCTTTTCTCCTTTGCCATTCCTGTATGCGTTTGGCTTAGGCATTTTTCTTTTATTACTAGATCTACATATATTATAAATAATATTTATATATGTATGTATAATAGATGATATATAATATAGATCTCATTAATAACTTGTTGATCCAAGAAGAAGTCTGATTTTAGAGTCAAGTAGTCATTTATAACTTTTGTATGAAGATTGAAAATCACTTTGATATTTTACGGGGTTTTTTTTTTTTATACCACTGGATCAACATCAGCAAACATTTAGACTTCAGGCATTTATTTGACCCTGTATTACCTGCTGCATGTGATGTGGAGTTATATAACTCAAACCACTTATCAAATAGGCACTTATCATTGTTTTTTTTTTTTTAACCTTTGCTTCCATAGAACACGCTGACAATTTTCATAACGTGTATCTTGTATGGTAATAAAATAGCTTTTTGAGATGCATACCACTTCATCAATATTTTACTGTCACTTACCCATCGCTACATGCAGTGCGTTACTCATTTTGTATAAAATCCACTCAGGGGTCCCTGATTTATAGTAGCCCCCAGCATGACTAGCTATAAAGCGAAAATCAAGGCAGTTAGAATATAACAGCACGATTCTCCGTAGACTTACAGTGCCTGGGGAGCAAACTTTATTACAAAAGTCAAAATATACATTTAGTATCAATCAAAATTCACTGCCAATATCTTTTTATTTTAATTATTAAATTATATCATAGATGGTGAGCACATCAACATGTTCAGGAATACTAAAAAAAAAAAAAAAAGCCAAACATACATTTACACAATTTTTATTTTTCATTTATTCATTCATCTTATACAGAAATGTTGAGAGTGCTAAAAAGTTTATAGCATCCTTAAATTGCAATATTTCAGACAGTGTTTAATGCTTAGAGTCAACCTGCCACTTCACTCACTAAGCAAAAAGGCAAATATGAAATTATACCTACAACATTGCTGTATTGTGTGGGAGAAGAGGGGGGCAAGCATTTACAACCCCTCTGCAAAGATGCAGTGAATCCGAATGGAACCTTGATGGATAACTTGTTTCTCCTCATGGTGAAATCCAGTGTTGGAGCAGACGGTAAGATAAAGTTAAAGAGCTTTATGGGCTGAATGTTGTTTTACTTTCCTTCGCAATGCAAAGCATGTGCTAGCCTGGGTATACATGTTAGGACAGTTTCTATGCATGTAGTAAAACGTGTCCATTAAACAGTGATTACTAGGGTTAATTGCTGCCTTTAATGTCTACCACCACTGAGACAGACCACCAGTTAGACAATTATACAAAAGGCCATACTTTCCAAATAACTGACACGTATAAATTATACTGGTTACCCCGCCCCCACCCCTGGCTTTTCAGACAACCAGTCCTGTTACTTCCTGGTTTGGTTAGCTTAGTTGCACTGACCTCAAGAGGCAGCAATTGCCCAGAGCACCTGCCTTGCAAAGACTTCTCATTGAGCTGCATTGGGAACTCTGTGATTGGACAGCCACATAACGTCTGGATGAGGTTAGAAAGGGATCTGCAGCTTTTGCAAACTGTTTTTAGATATTCCCAATGAAAAGGGCTTAATTAATTTGGGTTATATCTACTAAACAATGATTTTTGAATTATTTTGTATTTGGACAGTGGAGTTCCCTTTAACCATCCCTATTTGAAGACTAAAGGGGTTGGGGGCCCCAAACTGGTAACCTGCCTAGGGACGGAGGGGCCTTAATCCTTCCATGAATGCATAATACTGTGCCCTACCTATAAATAGAAAAGGTGTCTTTTCTTATCCACACCCACCTCCCTGACTTTGTTCTTTCAAAAAAAGAGCAATCTGTATGAATACACCCCCCCCCACACACACACACACACACCTGTGTTCAGTGCTGTGCATGTTGTAAAGTACTTGTTTAAAGTGGCCATTTTGTGTACAATAGTAAACAGTAAATAATTTAGCTGCCATCTTGCTCACCATTAGCTAATTAATCACAGACATTATAAACAGCTGTGAGAACCTCAGTGAGATCTTTTTACTGCATCAGTTACCTCAGATACCCATGTCCTTAGAAATACTTTTTTTTCTGATTTTTAAAACAGAGTAATTGTTTAACCAAATCCTTATTTAGGGTCCTCAACAAAACGTGGATTCTGTTAGTGCAATGTAGATCACAGATATATTTGTGTTTGGCATAATTAATCATGGAAAATAAGAATCAGGTTCAGACATATTTATCAAAAATGCACAAACTACCCCACAGTAGTCAGCATGGGCCTGGTCCTTAGAGCTAAAGATCTAAATGGATTGTTACAACAGAATGTTATGACTAAAATGTTGCTTTGGTAAAAGAACAGATACTTGTTCTAGAAAAATATGTTTTGTACTCTAGTTTGCATAGAAACTTCTAATTATTTCTTGTTATTTAAGTATAAGCGTCTGGCATTGATTACAAACTTAATCAGCAGTTCCATCATTCTCTACGGCTGTGACTCACCGACCAGGACTTAATGACCTCAAACTTCCAACAACAAAGCTGCCACGCAGCACTAGGAATTAAAGTCCAGGAGGCTGGTCTTCCAGGAAGCCAAAGAACAAAGATCTTTTCATATAAATAGCAGTAAACAGCATTACCTTCATTCTCCAACCAAATCACAAAGGAAAAAGGTAAAGGGGATCTCTTACTGTGAGTAGTTGAGTTGAAGGGCCAAGGTAGGGGATAGGAATACAAAGATTTAGATGGGTGGGAACCTGAAACGTTGTCCCATATCTACAAGGAAAATTAGAGAGAAAAATATAGGCTTTAAAATTAGTTGTTTCCAGTGTTTTCCTAAAATGTTGACATAATAACATCTCAAAATGTTTCACTAATTATTCACGACATAGCTTGTAAGAGGTTGTTACAAGGAAACTTTAACAAAATGAATTGTATAGTTTTGGACAAAAAAGAGTTCTCACCTTCACAAGAATGGTGTATCTAATCATCAAGCGGCAATCAATAAAAAGCAGGTTAAATGACTATATTATGTTCTCCACAGGTGCCTGATCACTGAAGATCATCAAAATGTTCATACGGGTAGTAGTCCTGGCGCTGGTTCTATGCGCTATTAAAGGTGAGTAAGGGGGGAAGAACCTGGGGTTTGAGACGTATGTGTGACATGTAGTGGGGAATTAAAAGCAAACAAGATGTCCATAGGCCTTAGAGGTGGACTGGAAAGGTACAGGCTCTAGATCTCTATGTTGGGACTCAAAAAAAAAGTCTATATGTCATTTTAGTGGGTCTTTGCTAGTACGAATAAACATATTATTATTTATTAGTGCTTTCTCCTGTGGAAAGGAGTCTACTGAAATTGCTTAGCAGAATAAAATAATTGTCACCTGAAAAATATTTTTATGTAATTATCCTCTCCTCAAGTTTTGAAAGGAAATGTTTTTTTTTAATGAAATTTATGTAAAAACTGAGACAAGCTCTACATTTTTTATATGACTTTAGCCATATACATTCACGTTGCGTCAGACAGTGTTTGTAAACTGATAGTAACTCTATGTTTTTTCCCGCTTCACTGTCTAAACAGAAGCAGGGAAGATCATAGAGACTAACTGTTGGTTTTCAAACACTTTCTGACCTAAGGTGTGTGTATATTGCTGAAGGATCCTGTCATATAATAAAAGTAGGGATGAGTTTTTCTCATTTATTTTAGATATACTTCATTTAAATAAATAGTTTTTCTTTCAAAACTTGATGAAGGGGTTATTATGTAAAAAACATTTTTTTGATGTGACAGCTGTCCTTTCATTTTAATGTTTATACTTCATGTGAAGAATGTGTCACAGAGCTAATTTTCAAGTTGAACAATGGGTCACCACACTAACGCCACCAACACCATTTTGGCTCCTGAAAATGAAAGGCCGGAAATGAATGATCTAAATCAGTAGTTCCCAAGCCAGTTTACTGGGTAATCCCTAAATCCTGGACTGGTAGGGGTGCCTTGAGGACTGGTATGGGAACCACTGATCTAGCTGATATTAAATTATGATCACATTTCAAGATAAAATGAGATAACTCATAAACACAGGCAAGAGTGAGCGTTTCTGTGAGTGTGCACTTGAGTAATGACACTTCTTCTCTTAGAATCGCGAGCCGAGGTCAACAGTGAAGAAGTAGCTAATGCATTCTGGGAATACGTTTCCACACTGAGCAGCAACACTAAGAATGCCATCGACCAGATTCAGCAATCAGAGATCAGCCAACAGCTCAAGTGAGTAACAAGCAAAAAATGGAATAAAAGCTACTTAATTTATAAAAATTACAGAAAAAGTGAATTGGGTGGTCCTTTGTTTGTGCACTAGGTCACCTAAACAGTGTTTATAGCTCGAATGTAAAGACAAGTATGGGATGTCGCATGTAGAACAGCCCATATGAAAGCATTACTCAATGCTTTCCTATGGGCGTCCAGCATCTTCTCACTGTGATTTTCACAGTGAAAATCGTGAAAGCGCCTCTAGTGGCTGTCAGTGAGATAGCCACTAGAGGCTGGATTAACCCTCAGTGAAACATAGCAGTTTCTCTGGCATAGATTCGTAAATTGAAAGGAACAATATAGTCACCCAAACCATTTCCTCTCAGTGAAGTGGTCTGGGTTCATTGGTCCTGTCAATTAAATCCGCAATGTGAAACATTGTAGTTTAGTAAAAACCTCAATGTTTGCATTGCAGGGTTGAACCCCTTTCTTCCCGACAGCCACCAGAAGCACTTCCTTTTCCAAACTCAGTATGGAAATCAAGAGCAGCTGATAACAGCATTTTATTGGAGAAGCAAGGTATTTGGATGTGCATGCGTACCTCCAATACATTGCTTTCCTATAAGAAGAAATGGATTGAAGGAGATCGAGCAAAGGTCAGCAGACATGCTGACATCTTTGAAGGCCAAATGGAGGAGTAGTGGTGCTGGAAATTAAGTAATTAAGTAAATAAAACTTTAAAGTTATTAAACTTCATTTATAAACAAAGGGTGGGGGCAGAAGGGTGGCGACAAAAGGGATTAATGATTCCCTTTAACTTCCATATTATCTAAGTGGCATCAAGAATTCAGATTTTTGGGATGCTTCCAAAGATTCATTGCACCATAACCTCTGAAATGACCTGTAGTGGCAATGCATCTTTTAAAGCATGTTGGACTTTTCTCAGAAACTGTCAGTTGTACTGACATAATAAACCGATGTGGATAAATCGGGTTATCTGGAGACTCTAAATTTTTTTTCAAATTTTGTTGTTTTTGTATAATATTTCGGGTTAGAAGGTTTGGTAAATGATGGTCCAGCAAAGTTCTTTCATGTTGTCACATCAATTTGTACTTTCCCCATCCTTTCTACACATGTTGGATTTGAGTTCATCTTTTTGGATATTCTTTTCAAATTATTTAATCAATTTGGATAAACTTAAAAAATAAATAAATAATTCAAAATATTAAAATATAAAATAAGATACAATGTATAAAACAGTACAGCAATATATAAAAAATATTAAAATATTTTTAAAAATATGAAATAGTTTTCAAAGTGTATCCAAAAATATTAATTCATTTCAAAAAAGCTTATAGAAAAATATTAAAGCAAGACCAATATTAGACTTTAGTAATTGTGGTTAAGCTCCTTTTTTTAAAATAAGGACTCCAGCACGGGCATGTGCAAGGAGTGTGCTAGGTGTTCCAAGGCACATCCGAAATTTGGGCAAAGTTGTCCTATTCAGGACTATATGGGGACCTTTGTGTGGGTTTTGTTATGTTTTTAATAAAGCATATGAGTATCTCTGTATATGTCTGATTATCACAGGAGCAAAAAAAATACTATGTATTTCATCGTTTAAATAGTTTTTTTGTTGTTTTTTTTAAGTAAAATTGTATCTTCTAATTTTCAGCAATTCAGCTTACTCATACTCTTTCTGTGTTTTCTTGTTTGTCTTCACAGTTCTCTTATCCAGGACAATCTAAAGACAGTAAATCTTTATGCTGGAGAAATGCCAGACCAACTCATCCCTCTAGCCAAACAGATCCACGATCAACTGACTCAGAATTCAGAAAAACTTCGGGAACAGATCAGAGAGGAACTCAAGCAATTACAGAGCAGGTTCACCCCATATTCAGATAAGCTGCATAAACAAATGAGCAAAAATTTAGAACAGTTGCAATTTAAGCTTACTCCATATGCTGAGGAACTTCAGACACAGATTGAGAAGAATACACAGGTGGTCAGTGAGAAACTGAAGTTGGTGGCCAAGGAAATAGATGCTAAGATTAGAGAAAATGCAGACAATATGCAGGAGTCTTTGGCCCCATATGCGCAAAAACTCCAGGACAAAATCGATGAAAGTGTAGAGCAACTTCGAGAACAAGTGATTCCATACACTGCGGAGTTACGAGACGAGATAAGGCAGCAATCAGTGCATTTACAGCGCCAGTTGACCCCCTATGCAGAGGACATGCAAAATAACCTGAACAGATATATTGAAAACATGGATTTCCAAATGAGAAAAAGAGTAGATCAGATGGAAGCCAGGATGATGGAGCTCATGACAGACCTGAAGAAGCAGCTAAACCCCTACGCCGATGAGCTGCGGAATAAACTCAATGGGAATGTGAAGGATGTCACACAGGTTTTGGAGCCTTACCTGGCCAAAATGAGTGAAAACATGGACCAGAAAATCTCAGAGTTTAAGAACATGATGACCCCATATGGAGAAGAACTTAATAAGGCCCTTCTGCAAAGGGTGGAAGATATGAACCAGAAACTTGGGCACTACACAGTGAGTGTGAAGGATCAACTAGAGTACCTGGAGAAAGATGTCCGGGACAAGATCAATGAATTTGTGAACAAAGATGTTCCCAGAGAAGAGTAAATCATATGTTGCTGAAATATGATGGCAATTGATAATGTATTCTTCCTCTGATATCTAGAATGTCACCGAAAGGACCAACTGACATCTCTATTAGATTCAGAGATAACATATACAGTATTATTGAGAGGTATGAATTGTAAAAGAGTAAAAAAAAACAGGAAATACTAATGTGTGAATGTATCAATATTTGGCTGTTTAAAATGTCTGTTTTGTTGAGCAGGATGTGCTTATTTCTCAGTACATACAAAAATGTTCACCGCTGTGCCAAGTTTCTCAAAAAAGATTCTATTTCTTTATTTCCACGCTGGCTGTTATTCAGATAATAACGTTTTAAGATCTTTGGAGCCATCTGAATTTTTATGCAGCTAAGTACAATATACACCTAGCAATGAACTTTTTGCATATAACTGGGCTTATAGGGGGTGAATAAAAAGCTGTCTGATCCCAGACACATTAATAGCCAGGATTTATTTATTAAAGAGCAAACTGAAATTCTGAAATAAAAACGGAAATGTAATATTTTATCTAAATTAACTGACTTTAAAAACTGATAGTCATAGATTGGCCATTTTTCTGTAAATTTTGCAGTCTGATGATCAGTCCACTACAATTTGGTGTTTAATGAATAAACCCATTTATGTGTGTTGATATTTATTTGAATTAAAATTGTTCACTTCTTACATTTAAAGCATAGTGTGTCTGAGTACACATTGTAATTTTAGTATGCTGTTTGGCAGAGCTGTTTAATTTAACTCACAGATTTGCTCTTCACTGGTAAAACATTCTGGGCCTTTGTTCTCAGTTACTTGCAATAAATAAGCAACTCAGCAATGCAGACTGTGTCTTATCTTGATTATTTACTGTTTATCTATATCTATATGGTAACAAAATCTTCAGCAACAAGAGCTGATACATATCTTAACCAATGGCAACGAAACACTCAAGGTGTTTATAAACACACTTCTTTCTTTAACGTACAAATCAACAATGTTTTCATCTCACCTTTTTCAAGACCTCAAAACACTTCAGGGTGTTACAGTAGGGTTAGTTCATTTGTATCATGCCTTATTTTTATTTATTTTTTGTACCTGGTTATTAAAAGCTTTATGAAAATCACAATATGTGATGTATGTGTGCGTGAGTGTACGTGTGTGGGAGTGTACGTGTGTGTGTGTGCCTGTGTGTGAGTGTACGTGTGTGTGAGTGTACATGTGTGTGCATGTGTGTGAGTGTACGTGTGTGTGAGTGTACGTGTGTGTGTGTGCTCGTGTGTGTGTGCGTGAGTGTACGCATGTGTGTGTACGTGTGTGTGCATGCGTGTGAGTGTGTTAAACTGCAATATTCAAAATTGGAAGACAAAATAAAGCAAATTCCAATGTAGCAAAAACATTGAAAGATGAAAAAGAGCGTTCCTTCTTTAGAGATAATAAATGAAAGACAGGTAAACAGCAGCCACACCTAGGATAAGGACACTTATAATTTGTAGAAATCCTATAACTGCGTAATATAAATCTCTTATGATAGCATCAGGGTTCACTAATATTGCTGATAATGCCTAAAGCGTTTCGAGCTCCTGATTTCTTGTTCAGAGACATACGAGACAAATTCCGACTAAACTAGAGAAGAGGTAACTATTGAGTTACAGAGTTGGAATATTTCCCCATTTCAGCTATCATTGCCTAAATGTTTTCATTTTGTGTTCAATACGATGTTTATTGAAAATGAGCATTATGCAAAACTAAACACTTCTCAGATAATCATCCAGAAAGAAACTGACACATCTGAAATGTTAAAGTATATAATGATCTTTCCTATTATATGTAGAATTCTCAGGCAGGTCAGTGACCAGTAAACTTACCAATCAAAAGGTACTTTTCTTTTAAGCTGAATGTACAAGGAGCAGTTGATGCATCAGAGGAGGATTTGAGATTTTTTCTGAACAACAATGCAAGCTATTTTTCTTCTTTTAATAGTCTCAGTAAAGTTAGTAGGTAGCCATACGTTCATCAATAGCCTCAGCAATTTAGTTCAGACTGCTCCAAACAAATCTATAAAATGTACATATTGTGCATCAAGACCCCCATATAACCAGAGGGGCTTGTAATTGGTAAACATATTAAAACGTGAGTCTGGTGCCCTAATAACTGAATAGGTGGGATGGGATGGGACGTAGCCCTCTCATAGTCCACTGACAGGTACCACGTAATGGATGGTGTATGTCTCTACCTCTATCTACACTTCTTATATTAAAAAAAATAAAGGATGTTCTCGAAGAAATTTCCCCCTGGCCCAAAACTCAAAGCCCCATTCCCACATGTACAGACTCCGAGGATGCTCAGACTCTGATTATGAGCAAACAAATAAAAAAATGGGAAAAAAAGCAAGCGGAATGTTTCCGACAGTCCTCGCAGCGTTGGATACATTGTTTCACGTGGAGGAAGATCTTGGGAGAAAGATAGGGTTCTTCGCTAAAGTGAGACTAAAACGTGAATTCAAAGTGAATTTCAAATTTAAGGCAAAGTATCCAAACTGGAAAAATACTCGGAGTCAGCTTTCATTCCGGTTTGACTATTCTGGCCTAAAAGTCTAAATTTACCATGAACTCACTTTGAATTCTCACTTTAGTGAATAACTTTGATAGTTTTCAACACCTTAAAGGCTGGTGCTCCCTGTCCCTAAATTCTCCGTAACCCTAAGCCCAGCTAAACAAACACCCTTAACCATAATCCTAAATTTCCTGTTACAAATTCCGTTCCACCATAACCATCACAATTAGCTCTGTTAAACAGTGTCATTTTTATGACATTTTAAATGTATACAACGAATGCTACCCACCACCAAAGTCAAGTAGCCAAGAGTCCCCAGGTTCCGGTGAAGGTTACATATCAGTGCTTAGAGAGGCGATAATTTCATCAGTTTCATCTTTGTTCATCATTATATGGAAATGTTAGCTCTAGCATCTGCTGTATTGAAACAATATTATTGGCATCTATTTATTCAACCAATAGATGGCAGCACATGTTAAGCTACAAGTACCATTATACTAACAGTCTTTTTTTCCACCAAAGTAATTTTTTTACTACTTTTTTAACTGTTATGGAAGTGTTATATCCAGGGATGAAGTCCTGAGGGGGGGGGGGGAAGTGTGGGAACTCACCCAAGATCCACCCCTTCCCCCCCAAAAAAGATTTATACACTCATATGCATATATATAGCTAGGTGAAGGGGTGACAATGTGTGGGGGCTGAAAGTGATTGGGATAGTGATATTGTATGGAGGGGGTGTCAGTGTGTGTTTGGGGATGATAGAGTGTGTGTGGGTGTGACAGTGTGTGTGTGGGGGGGGTGACAGAGTGCGTGTATAGGGGGAGTAACAGGGTGTGTGTGTGTAGAGAGAGGTGACAGGGTGTGTAAGGGGGCAGTGAAAGGGTGTATGAGGGGGCTGTGACAGGGTTTATGGGGGGGGGGTGGACGGTGTGTGGGGAGACAGGGTGGGGATGGCTGTGACAAGGTGTGGGAAGGAAGGCTGTGAGATGGTAGGGGTGCTGTGAGAGGGTTGGGTGCTGTGAGAAGGTAGATAGGCTGTATAAAGGTAGAGGGGCTGTGAGAAGGCAGGGGCTATGAGAGGGTAGGGGGCTATGAGGTGGGTAGAGATATTGTGAGTGGGTAGGGGGCTGTGAGTGGGTAGGGGTTCTGTAAGGTGGGAAGGGGCAGTAAGGTGGGTAGGCGAGCTGTGAGTGGGTAAGGGGGCTGTGAGTAGGTAGGGGTTCTGTAAGGGGGGAAGGGTGGCTGTTAGTGGGTAGGGGGACTGTGAGTGGGTAGGGGGACTGTGAGTTGGGGAGGTGGGTAGGGGGACTTTGAGGTGGGTAGGGGTTTTGTAAGGTGGGTAGGGGGATGGGATGGTGGGTAAAGGGAATGTGTGTGGGTAGGGGGGCTGTGAGTGGGTATGGGGTTGTAAGGTGGGTAGGGGTTCTGCAAGTGGGTAGGGAGGCTCTAAGGTGGGTAGGGAGCTGTGAAAATTTTTAGTTTTCCTTTAGTTTTCTGTAATTATTTCCTCGTGGTCCGGTGGGCAGCTTTCCCTGGTGGTCTGCAGCTCCGCTGGGTGCAGAGCTGCAGACCACGTGGTAAGTCTCTAGTCGCAATCTCTAGTCAGAGCGTTGCCATGGTAACCAGCAGCAATGCTCTTATTGGCTGGAGATTGCGAGACACCTCAATCTGCAGTTCTTCACTCGGCGGAGCTGTAGACAGGAGGCTGGCTCTCCCCCAGGGCAGGTGGTGTGGAGGGGCCTTGCACCCAGAGGCATAAAGGGCAAGCCGCTGGGCCCCCTCCTGTGTTGGGCCCTCAGTCTCTGACCGAGGATCCGACATGTCACACTGCCCTAAGGCGATTTAGGCAGCCACGAGGCCCCAATCAGCGCGAGGCCTTAGGCGGTCGCCTAAATCGCCTAATTAGAGAGCCGCCTCTTTCCTGCAGGACTACTCACTACTTTTTCCACAGCAGGAACGCCGTTCCCACGCGTTCCTACAGGACTCGAGCCCTGGTTCACTTCCTTTTTTATATGTTGTAGCATATATTTGTTAATATACTACTAATATAGGCATGCTGCTTTGCACAATGTTAATATTTTTTTTTATAAATATGTTATGGTTTAAGTACTAGTTAATTGTCCTCTCTCCAGTGTGAGCTGCTGAGTGTTACACAGGAAGTAGAAACCTGTCTAAGTGAGTCACAGGAAGCAGTTTGATATAAATCGCATGGAGCAGGGGCAGTTAAGAGGAGGGGGTATAGTTAACCACTTCCCAATATCCCCCAAATATCGACAGCACTGGAAAGTATGCTGCCCACGACCTACTAACTCAAGGGCAATATGCCAGGTCTATAACTCTGTTATATATAGGAGGACATTTTGCCCTCTTACCTGGTAACAGCTTCACTTCCTTTTTAGTTTGTACATTGTTCTTTGTGATGTCAACCTTTTTCTTGATGCAGCTGGCAGCTAAGGTCCTTGCCAATCGTGACTGGATCAAGAGCACATGGGGAAGAAGAAAGGTCGGGGCTGATCCGTCTCCTAACCTCTGGTACATGGTTTGAATAAATGGATGTGTCCACTGAGCCAAAGGTCGGCTAGTGGTTGGCATTGGGGTATGCCAAGGTGGTGGTGGTTAGGACGAGGGGGAGGCATGCCCCAGGAGGATTTGGGATTAACGGTGGGACGAATTGGCAAGGACGAGTTTACATTAAACATCTAGTCTGCCCAATATTTCAAAATACTGTTAATTAGTCCCTGGCCTTATCTTAAGTCTAGGATAGCCTTATGCCTATCCCACGCATGCTTAAATTCCCTCACTGTGTTAACCTCTACGACTTCAGCTGGAAGGCTATTCCATGCATCCACTACCCTCTCAGTAAAGTAATACTTCCTGATATTATTTTTAAACCTTTGTCCCTCTAATTTAATACGTATGTCCTCTTGTTGTGGTAGTTCTCCAATTAAATATAGTCTTCTCCTTTACTGTGTTGATTCCCTATATGTATTTAAATGTTTCTATCATATCCCCCTGTCTCGTCTTTCCTCCAAGCTATACATGTTAAGATCCTTTAACCTTTCCTGGTAAGTTTTATCCTGCAATCCATGAACCAGTTTAGTAGCCCTTCTCTGAACTCTCGCTAATCTCTTTGATATGTTAAGTTATGGTTTACGATATTTGTTCAATTGTAAATAAAGCTGTGTCCTAATTTATACCATAAGTACGTCTCAGGTTTCAATTGGAAAGTGGGTGGATGGAATGGGCGATTCTGGTGTCGCGCTGCATGGTACCCACTACCTGCACACATGCGATGTGCGGTGGGCACTTGGACCATCCAGAGAGCATCCCTGTAACGTTC